AAACTAACGGCTGGAGAGTAGTTTTTCAAAGCTGTGAAAAACAAAGAAAAAGCTAGACTGATCACTGCCTGTGTAGCTCGTAGGAAGCAAACACTGCCCAGCCCCCCAGCCAGGACCTCCTGAAGCTACCTGACCCAGCTAAATCACTGGATCTGTATTATTCTGGCAGGAAAGGGCCCCCAGGCTGCCAAAATTAGACACGCTTGGACTGGGAACTAAGGCCTGAGCGGAAGCAATTGAAAAACTGCTAAAAAAGGAACGACGAGTGTAGAAAGAGAAAACAAAAAAACTAAAACAACTACCACTCAGAATAAATTTGAAAATACAATTTCAAAATACGGTAAACAAAGACTGGCAAAATCAACTCAGATGAAATCAAAATAATAGGGACATTAGCAAGTTAGGAAAAGAAAAAAATCCACAAAAAGAAAAATTATTCTTTTAAATAATAATGCAAGAACGGGTAAATATAAAAAATAACGAGTTAGAGACTCTGGAAATGAAAAATGTAGTCACCAAAATTTAAAAACAACAAAACCAAAAAACCTTAAACAAATGTGTTAAGGGGATCTCAGGTGGCCCTAATTAACCAGCTTCCCCAGGAATAATTTCTGCCCTTTGGTTTAAGTCATATCGAAGATGAGTCTTAGACACCATCTAATGCTCAAGCAGTTTATTTATTCTGGCAGCACTCCTACAAGAAAAATAGCAGAAGCAGGCCACATATAGTTAGATGAACAACTGACCTGAGGGTCTTTGTCCAGAGACCATTCTCAGAATTTGAAGAATGTTTCCCCCTTTCTTATACCTGTACTCAGCTTAGTTACCAGGTATTTCTTTCAAAAAGGGAGTTTAAGCTATTCTTATAAGGATAAGCGGTTTGTTTGTTTGTTTGTTTGTTTATGATAGTTGCATCTGTGCTGAGATGGCCTTGTCTCCTTGAAATCCTCAGGCCTGTGTTGAAAATCCCCATCATATTGCTAAGTGACACATAATGTCAGCCATACTATGTGACATACTGCTAGGCTACACATAGTGTCAGCAAGACACTTGAGTGAGCTTTATAGCTATCATTAATTTTATGGCCTCAATATGTCCATTATAGTACACTACTTAATACAAGATGAAATAAAATTTAAATGGAGTATACTTAAAAATAATATCAGTGAACCGAGAGAGAATACCAGAATTCACCTGAAATGTCAGACATAATAATAAAGAGATATGTTTAAGTGGGAGAATAATCTGAAGAATGAATTCAGAATCCAACAACCATGTATAACCACTCCTGAAAAAGAGAGAATAAAGGAGAAATTATGTTCAAAGTAATAATGACTGAATTCTCCACAATTAATGAAGAGTCCTCAGATGCATTTCTTAAGTACAATTTAATAAAATATTGGTCCATATTTACACATCATAAATGAAAACTTCAGATCAAAGATAAGGAGAAATTTTAAAGCTACCAAACAGAAAAGGGAAAAAAAATCTCTCCAAAAGAATAATAATTAAATAAATATCTCATTCTCGACCATAATGAAGACATCCAACAAACATATAACAGACCCTAATGGAGAAACCTATAAAATATTATTGAAGAGATTTAATGGACACAAAAAGAATAGATAAGTTCACAGATGAAAATATTTAAGGGTATTTATTACTCTATAAATTCTGTATAATTTGAGTCAAAATCTAAACTAACTTTTCACTACTTGAAATTGTATTTTTTTAGTTGACAAAGAAGAATAAAAATCTAACACTATAAGGCAAGTTTGAGAAAATGTAAGATAAGGGACTTGCCATACAGATTGTAAACCTTATTGAAAGCTATAGAAATTAAAAGAGCATGATAATTTTGCAAGAACTGATTTTCAAGAGGTGGCAGTGGGAAAGGGGGAGGACAAAATAAGAGTCCAGAAGCATACATGTCTGCATTTGTAGAAATTCAACACAGGAAATATGTTAGCAAGATGAATTAGTAGGTAAAAGATGGACCATTCAATTAAAAAAGCCAGGGAACTTTGGGTATCCACTTGGAGAAAAAAATATGTACCAGATCTCCATAATACGTAAATTAAAGCTTGAAATTTTTTTAACTTTAGAAAACTGTGGAAATATATAAAATAGGAAGATTTTCTCATACAAGATGGAAAAAAACACAAAACATAACAAAAAAGATTTTAAAAATCACTTCATTAAGATCCTCATTTCATCCAAAAATACAATAAAGCAAACTTCATAAACAAGCTAGAGACTAAGTCAAATGTCTACAAATATAGAATTTATAAAGAAATAATATTAAGTATATAAAATAACTCCATAAATCCATGAGAAAAAAGAAGGAACTCAACAGAAAAATGGAAAAGAACTATAAACAGCTAATTTGCAGAAGAGAAACAATTATGTTCAATAACCATGAAAAATACTTCACTGGTATCCAAGCAAATACAAATTAAATAAGAACTTTGTATACCATCAGATTGTCAAATGAATAAATTAGTCCAATATACCAAGTTTGGTGAAATGGAATGTTTTCACATTGTTGGTGTTAATATAAACTAGTGCAACCATCTTGGATAGCAAATAGGCAAAACCTAGTAATGTCCAAATGGACCCTTTCCACCCAGAAATTTCACTACTAATTTTCTACTCCAGCTTAGAAAATCTCTTCTCCATATCCAGGCATGTGGAGATAGGTACAAAGATGTTCACAGCTTTACAGCCTTATAATAGTGAAAAACTGAGGGAAAAGTCTAAACATCCATCAGTCAAAAAATAGACAAATAAATGGTGGCATATTCATAAAAATAATGCTATACTCATTTAAAATGAAGTAACCATAGTTCTACATGTATCAGTATGAATTTATTTGAAATATATAAAATGCTGATTGAAAGAAACAAGTTACAAAATTATATAGAGAGTAAATCTTATTTAATTTTAAAACCATATGTTGTTTATTAATGTATTAATATCTGTATGTAGTAATAAAATCACAAAAACACACAATAGGTTATTCACTACATTGGAGACAGTGGTTAAATCTGGGGATGGACAGAAAAGACAATGAGGGAGTGGTACTTACCAGTCTTTAACTACATGTAGAATGTTTTATTTATTTTAAAAAATTCAAGCAAATGTGGCAAAATTTCAACATTTGTTTAATATGATGAAGTGTACAAGTATGTTTGTTATGTTTATATGTTCTAAACATTTCATAATTTTGAAAACTTTTTTAAAAGGATAAAAGTTAAAAAGTTTTTAGTACTTTCAGTTATTTTTTAAATATAAGGGAACTGCCCATAATAGCTTCATAACTCTGGAAATATTAGAAAAACTTCTTACAGTAGGAAGGATGAAGATGGCTATGAAGGAGCCAGGGAGGTGCAGTGGTGTCCCAGATAGTCCCCAGGGTGGCTAGACTTTTAATCTGGCTTTATGCAAAAGAATGACAAAAGGAAAATGGATTCTGGAAAAACGATCTGGTTTTAGAATAGCCTCACTTTTGGTGGAAGAGTGGGGGTAGAGGAAGAAGGGCAGATTTGAGAGGTAAAATGACAGGGGACTAGTTAGGACCAAGAGATTGGCTGGTAGTAACTAGACAGTAAGATAAAAAAAAAGGGTACATTTTGTCTTTGAAACCTAGGTTCTTACAAGTATGACAGAAAACATAAAGTCACAAAGAGGAACTTTTGGGTTATCCTTGTGTTCTCATTAAGAGAACAAAACAACACTTCTTCTACACTGGCATTTTAAATTAAGCTAGTATTCACAACTTTTCTCCCTAGAGCAATTTAGGAAGAGTCAGTCAAGGCTTAGCTATGTTTTTCTGTTTTATTGTTTGTCAAGATTGTAGAGGTAGACTCTTTATAAAACTGTCAACATCAAAACACCTTTATTCTTTCTCCTTTAAAAAGATAACACAATAAAGACATGACATCATCCTGGCTTATAGGCGTTTCTTAGAAACCCGCTCAAAGTGTAGGGAAGCGGGGGTGACACCAAGCCCAGAGGACTCATCCTGAGGTACATGAATCAGAGGGCAGCAAAGCTAGACATTGTATAAACCTTACATATAAGATCTCATTAAACCCAAATGACATTTTTTGTAAATTTTTCAAATGCAACTCAGAAATTTCAGAGAGTAGGCAGTGTGAGAGCGAAACAAAGCCATATAAGAACTGCTAACTTTCATTGACCACTTAGTTATATTCCAGGTGATTTCATATCAAAATTATCCATATAATTCAAATATAATGATAAATTTCAACCACTTAACAATGTCTTAAAACAGAAAACTACAGGTTTATACTAAGCAAAGCAAAAGATTCTATAGAGTTGCATTCCTGTTGAATCACCTCGTGTCTCCCCAGTGACTCAGTTGTCTTTCTCAAAAAGCAAAGCAGAAAGCTCTTCATCTCTAGTTAGGAGCTGGATTCAGGATCACCCATAACACATACCTTGTCATTGTCTTTTCTCTGAGACAAAGTATTGAAAACGTTTTCCCCTAGATTGATTTCCCTTTAGTTAGAAGGAGAGCAAGGCAGGTATGCATGAGTCCTATCCAACTAGGAACCAAGGAATGCAATTAAAAGTCAAGTGTCCTGCCCGGAAAAAAGGCTGTATCATGGCTATTTCTGCACTCTAGCAGTACTTTAGCACGCAGTGCATTTTATAGGCCAAATAAACATGAGTACGAACATCCATATACACTAATATGAACACACGAAATTGACTATATAATGTTATCTGTTATGTAGGAAATGTGAAAAAACTTAATGAATGGGGATTTTTTTTTCTGTCATTGATTTCTCATGTTTATTAAATTTTGGCTGTTAGAACCCCTAAGACAGGACTACTTGCTGGCTACTCAAAGAGGATTTCAGAGCTTCTTACTTGCTCTGTGACCTGGCTCCATGCAGCAAATATGGCTATGATTTAAATGATGATTTCCTAGTCTCATAATTTCACCTTGTATTTGCCTTCATTCTTTCCAGGAAGCAGAATGTGCCTATATACTCTTCGTCATTGCCATATTTTGGCTCACAGAAGCTTTGCCCCTGTCAGTAACAGCTTTGCTGCCTGGTTTAATGTTTCCTATGTTTGGGATCATGCCTTCTAAGGAGGTAAGTTCTCCTGCAAATGTTTATCAAAATTAGATTCCCTATTTTGTGCTGAGATTTCCACTGGAAAAACGTTGCTTTTAAAGGAAATAATGATCCTGTTGATGAAGCTTCCACATAAGTCTCTCAAATTTCCAACTGTTTCTTGCCTCTCAGAATCTGCATGTGTGTCCAACCTTAGGGGAACAAACAGGTTGCACAGGCTGCAACTTCTTGAGTTATGTGTGTCATCTTCTTCCACTGACTCGATACCCAGTGCCTCTCTCACAATAAAAGAAGCAACTTGTTCACATTCTGCATAAACTTTTTCTATGCAGCAGAATTTGGTCTCACGGTGTTGGAAAAACAATTTTTTTTGAATGAAGAAAAAGCTTCCTTGTTTTCTTTCCCCAAAATGCCATTTCAAAATATAAAACTAAATTAACCTCCATGTATATTTCTATTTTGTTCTTGCTGAGAGGAATTCATTCATGCTAAGAGGTGTGTCTTATCTTTATACAATCTAAGAGTACCCATCTGTAGAAAAATGGATTCAGTTTCCCATTAAAAGCAGGAAAGGCATTGAAAGCAGAAATATCTATCTCCATGTAGTCTCCAACTACCAAGCAAACAACAACTACCTAAACCACAGCTCAGACTTTCTCAGGAAAGATGTTGAGTTCCAGATGCCTAGTCAGTGCAATTTATCACCTTTGGACTTAGGTGTTCTGCCTAGGCTCAATATTGTTGTTTTGAGCCCCACCTGTATTTAACGTGGGTGCATATTTTTCTTTTTAACCAACCATTGATTATAGTTTTTCCTGTGAGAGGAGCTATTCCCTTCTTTATTTTCATGTCATTCTTCCCCACTTTGGAGCAGAAGTCCATCTTTTTGCATTTTTAATCCTCTCTGCTCCTCTTTTCTTACTGGATTTCTCCCTTCCTCTTAATCTTGCCTCGTCTTTCTAATCACCGTCAGTTTGGAAGAGCATATGGGCAGGGCTGATATCCCATGGAATCTGAGATATATTATCTATGAAGTTTCTTAACTGCTCCAACCTACTATATGGATTTCAATAAAGAGAATATAAAAAGAAACGACTAACAGGTTCTCGAAAATAGGATGTCAAATAGTTAACCCCTATCCTACTGGTTTGCATGGTTCTGTCTCCAGAGATAGTTAAGTTAAACAGTCACACATTTGTCTCTTATGGTTTGATAACAATAAAACTGACTAAATTAACTTTTTAAAAGATGCTGATGTAGAGTGAGGTTAATTGGAATCAGGAGGCATTTCAGTAGCAAGCTGCTTTGAGAGGAAACATAGAAGCACTATAGGAAAACAGAAGGAAAAGGTAGGAAGGTCTGGCTTTGTGGGAGCTGCCAGAGCTACATATTTCTGCCTCTTCCTGGTGTGTGGGGGCCTGACTAGAGGCAGTAAAATTGTAGGTGCCAATAGCAGTTGCATCACTCTGGCTGAAGATACCCGCCCAAGAGGCCTTTATTACCAAAGGTGCTAGCCTCAGACTAATTTAACAGTCACTGAATCTCAGACTTGGGAAGAATGTCCTTCTGGGTCAACTCTTGCCCAGAACAGGGATCTCCTCTATGATATCTAGTACAGATGAAATCATTCCGAAAATGCTTGAAGACTTTCTGGGTTGTTGGCCTCTAATATGCCTTGAGGAAATCCATATAACTTTTGAATAATTTTAACTCTTAAGCAACTCTCAAGCAACTTTATTAAATCCAAGTCTAAAACTCGGTCACTTTGATGCACTAAACATTTTCCTAACATCTAAGATCCCACAAATAAACCTCATTTTTTCTTTTACATGATAGTGTTACTTGGATTTGAAAATTAATATTAATACCATTTCCACCTTGAGTCTTTCTGGTTTCCAGACCTCAACTCCCATGCCCAAATCTACCACCCCCGGCTCCATCACCGTCACCATCTTCTTTTCTCTCCCTGGAACTAACTCTAGTTTCGTCAGTGTTACTTAAAGATTATATTAGTTAATAAATGTAAAGTCTGTTACATAGGAAACACTCAATATATGGAAACTCATATTATTGTACATTGACAAAAGTGCATAGATTATTCTAGAAACATTCTGAGTGTTGCAAAGGCAAATTACTCTATCATCTCCCCTCTAGTATTTCAGTCTAAGTTTGTTTTAAACTTTATGTGACTTTCTTCACCTAGTAAGAAACCTAGTAAGAACTGGAACTTGCAGCAAATCAAAGCCCTGAGGACTTTTAGCGGAGATAACTGATTTAAGTCTTGTGGTCTTCTTTCTAGACAGGGCAACTTACCTTTACTCATAAATAGCTGACCAAAAGTATAATGTGTTATGGAAAGAACTAGAGATCTAGTCCGAAAGCCTGAGATTGAAACCTGCTATTCATCCCCAACTGCTTATTATGATTCTGGTCATGTCCCTTAATAGCTCTTTTTTATCATCCGTAAGTGGAATGTGATAATGCCACACAAGCCATGGGTTGTCATAGCAACCAAACTAAATAATCTATGTTAAACGATGATACAAACTAAGTATCAAACCTTCTTATGAGTTACTATTCACAACTGGTTTGAGTTTTAAACTGTCATTCCAGCCTACTGCAGCATCTTTGAATCTCAAATCTGTCACTGAGTAGGATAATGTGTCCTTAATGTCTTCATCTAAGTTCAGAGTCCTAAACACGTGTCTCTTTGTTCATCATTGTTTTAACCTTACTTTACCTATTCATTAAGCCAGTGCTAAATACCTATTAATATATCTTGCTGAGCACATTACTGCATTTGAAGAATATCAATAAATTAAACTTTTCTCATATCTGCTGAGTTAAACCTGAGTGTGCCAAATTTGATAATCTAAAATATCATCAATGTTATGATGATTGAAAATATGTTTATGTATAGAATTCACACATATGAATGTGAAAATATACACTTATGTATAATATATATTACATTACATATTTGCTCAGTCATTCAATAAATATTTTCATGGTAGGACTCTGCCCAGAACTTGGGAATGCATCCAGTAATAAAAACAGATAAAAGTTTTCTATCTTTATAGGTAAAAAGCAGCAATAAACAATATATCTCATAAATAGATAAGTTATACAGTATAGTGAGTTACAAAAGTAATTGGTGCTATGGAAAAAATGCAACAAGATAGTGGGCATCAGAAAATATGGAAGTTTTAAAAAGAATATTCAGATTAGACCTCATTGGTTTGGTGACACCTGAACAAAGATTTATAGGAGATGAGAAAGTTTGCCATTTGAAAGCTGGGGAATGACCACTGCAAAAGGAGAAATACCCGGTGCAAGGACCTTAAAGTCTGTAGTGCAACTGGAACAGAATGAGTGAAGGGGAGAATTATAGAAAATTATGTCAGGGAGGTAATGTGAAGAGGGAATGGACCAAGTAGGGCCAAAAAGGTCACTATAAGATTTTAGCTCTGAATGAGTGGGACCCTCAGAAACATTTTGAGTAAAAGAGTGACATTATCAACCTGACTTTGATCTTAAAGGGATTACTTGGGCTGTGCTGAGAAACAAGGTGGAAAGAAAGAGACAGGTACTAGGTTATTGCAATCTCCTTGAGAGACCATGGGAATTCAGACCAGGGTTGTTGATAGATATGTTGAATATATTATGGATAAGTTTTGTAGGTAAAAAAAATAAACTTTCCTGACTGATTGGATATGGCATATGATTGAAAGAAGAGAGTCAAGGATGCCTCATAGCTTTTTGACCTGACAAATGGAAAAATGGAGTTGTTACCAATTGAAATGGAAAATACTATGGGCACAGTAGGCTTATTGTAGGAGAGGAACTGACACTGGGAGTTCGGTGCTGGATACATAAATTTAAAATATCTATTGGACATCTAGGTAAAGATGTTGAGCAGGCAGCTGAGTACAAATGAGTCCAGAGTTCATGAGAGAGTGAGCTGATTGGACATGTAGACCTGGGAGTCATCAGCATATATATGGTATTTGAAATCTTAAGACTTGATGAGATCCCTTAGGGAATGAGTAAAGATAGAAAGGCAAAGAGGAAGCTCTGCATAATTGCAACACTAAGAGATCAGTGAGAAGAAAATGTACTAGCCAAAGAGACTGATAAGAAAAGGTTATTGAGATAGGAATAAAATCAGGAGGGTGTGTGTTCCTGGAATCCAACTGGAGCAATATTTTGAGGATGAGGCAGTGATTGTATGTTTCAAATCTGCTGATAAACAACTCAATATGTAAAACTAGATATTGACCATTGGATTTAGCAAAGCCACATTATACCTAACAAAGCACTTTTAAAAAATATTATCTCATTTAATTTGTAAATGATATGAGGTACTATTTAACTTCTCCAACTTTTTATTGATTTGTAGAAAGGTTGCTCAACTGGTATGTTACAAAGCTAAGAGAAAACCTAGGTACTCTGACTGCAAAAGTCCATGTTTTTTGATGAAATCTCATTTTGAGATAGAAGTATAACTACCTGATTTTGCAAATAGATTTCAAATTTTATTAGCAATTTTATTAGACATATTAATTTTGCCTTGAAAATAGTTATATTTGTTAGTGTCATTTATGATAGCACCTTCTATTACTTCCTGGACAAGTAAGCTATAAACAAACATAACTTTCTATAACTAATGTTTTCCCACAAATATTCTGACTCTGGGAAAAACCAAAGAATAAGTAATACAATGAAAATAGAGAATGTGAAAATTCCTTCTTAGGTTTAAAAACTAATTTCATTTCGACTGAAGGCCATAATTTGCATGGTCTCTTGAGGAATTGGCAAACCATGGGCCTGTGGACCAAATCCAGCCTTCTGCTTAATTTTTAAAATAAATGTTTATTGGAACAAAGCCATAGCCATTCATTTACATATTGTTTTTGGCTCTTTTGTGCCACAACAACAGAGTTGAATAATTGCAGTAGAGACCATATGGTTCACAAAGTCTAGAATATTTACTGTCTGGACCCCACAAAGTACTCACTTCTCATATAACCAGAATAGATTCCAACAAGAACATCTCGTGGTCCTGGACTTCTTTCTGCATTTAATAACTTACTAATAATGGCTTGCTTCTGTGTGTTTCTTTGTATTTTTTAAAGCAATTCTTCATTTATTCTCTCATTTAATTTTCAGAGTGTTGGTAAAATAGTGTCAGTATCTTAGTCCATTCAGACTGATATAATGAAACACCTTAAACTGGGTAAATTATAAGTAACAGAAATTTATTGCTCCAGTTTTGGAGGCTGGGAAGTCCAAGATCAAGTAGCCAAAAATTTGGTGTCCGGTGAGGGCTTGCTGTCTGCACCATAGGTAGCGCATTTTTGCTGCATCATCACATTGTGGAAGGAGCAGGGGAGCTCCCTCAAACTTATTTTATAAAGGCATTAATCTCATTCATGAGATTGAAGCCAGCATATTAGGTTCATATTAGGTGTCAACATATGAATTTGGGGGGACACCAACAATCAGAACATAGCAGTCAATGGGGCATATTTTCATGAGCAAAATTACAAAAGAAATAAGGGCAAAGAAAACTATCATTCATCTTTCAGTAAGAAACTTCAGTATCAGGGCTTGTAAGAAGACTTTCCTAATCCCTCTAGGAAAAAAAATGGTCACTTACTCCATTTATTCTTTGAATCTCAACTATGCCTTAAGGAGGTATTGTTCATGCATATATGATCCTCTTTGTTAACTCGTTCTTTCTCGTCTAACTTGTAAATTCATTGAGTTTAGGGATTTATTAATTCAACATCTAATGAGTGCCAATATGTGCTAGGCATGTGCTAAATCTGTAAATACAATGATCAATAAGACACAGCCTGCCTTCAAAGCACATCTAGTGTAAGAAAGAAGACAGGTAAGTGAAGAAATTTTCACTATGTGTTATAGATTAAATGTGCTATAAAAGAGGGAAATATCATGCGACCCAGTTTAGGGTCTCGGAGAAGGGATCTTGGAAGAATTGACATCTGAGTTAATCCAGAAAGCAAGATTAGGAGTAACCAATGAATGAGAAAGGGAGAGAAGGATGTAACGAGCTACAGTCTCTGTGCTTCTAAATCCCAATTGTCTACACTCTGTCCCCTTCCTCCTATTCTTCTAACTCTTTCAACCCTTACTCTAGGTAAGTGTTTATCAATTTACTAGTGTTTCCAGACTTTTGAACCATTATTTTTTTTCTCCCTGGTTCTATCCCTGAATTGAATTTTTCTTTTTGGGCTATTTCAAAAATTAGTTTTTTTCTGCCCTTCTCTTAAAAGCTAGTATTCTACAGAGTTCTGTATATAGTCTTCTTGTTTTATATATCTGATGGCTGAATCTTAAGAATTCAACTTCTATCTCTATGGGACTAAAATAATGTCTGGCATCTACATAGTAGGTACTCAAATACATATTTGTTAAAGGAATGCTGAATGCACCAAGATCTGCATATCCAGACAGATATGTCTTCTGAGCTTCAGACTGGTATATCCAACTGGACATTTCCATTTGAATTTCCCACAAACATCTGAAAGCTCAACAGATCCAAAATGACACAGAGACTGTAGCTCGTTACATCCTTCTCTCCCTTTCTCATTCATTCAATACTATTTACTGAGCTCTCCTACTCTGTGCTAGGACTGCTACGTGCCAAATATGTGATGGTGAGCAAAACACAGTCCTGGTCCTCATGGAATGTGTAGTATCATAGGGAAAACAGGTAATAAGCAGATAAACAACTAGAATCTATGTAATGCAACATGCTATTTAAAAAACAGGGCTCTGTGATACAGAAAGATAGTAGGGTCTATTTTGAAAGGCCTGATATTTGAGAATTGAAGAGACATAAAAAGAAAAAAAATATATAAGGCATTTTTTCATGTATCCTCTGCCCCTGTTACATTTTTGGTACATGGCAAATGTTTTTTTCTTTTTCCTTTTTTTTTTAAACTGTATCTGCAATACTTTATTTCTTTAATAAAATAAAAAGATCCAAAGCAAATATAGCAAACTATTAATATATGAGAATTTGGGTGGTAGGTGCATGGAGCTCTCTTTTGTTAAATTATCTTCAATGTATAATCTTAATGCAGTTAATAAATGAAATAAGGAAATTGATATAATTATTTATTTTCTATTACCTAATCACTACAATATGTAAAGAGATAAATAAAACTTTGAAAACCATCATAAATTAAGATTTTATAAAAACATAATTAAGTTATCCATTTGTCTACTTTTAATTCCAAGGGTAATCATTAATTTTTGCTTTGTATTAAAACCAAGCCAAACTTAGTAAGCTATGCTTAAAATGCAGATACAATTTAAAATAGCAAACTATATATGTACATATATATATATAATTTATTTTCCTTTTCCTCTGTGGTTTCATAACATTAGGATAGTTTTGTCCTTACCCTTCCATTTCTTCTATAATACTAGACATTATTTGATTGTTAAAGGGATATTTCCTCTTATGATCCTTTCCTCCCTGCACAGATCTGTGATTAGGTTTAGTCAAGTATTTCCTAAAGTAGGTTCTCTTGAAAAGCAGTCCCATGAATTATTCTTATTCTTATCTAATTTTGTATTAAAAATTAGATAAGAATAAGCTTTTTGTGATAAGTTTGAACAATATGTATTATATCCCACCAATCCTTGAGAATGACAATATTCTATATACACTATTATATAGGTTTTGTAAAAGGCGATTATAAAAGTTTTGTGAAGGGCTACGGGAAAAAAAAATTCTAGTATTTTGAAATTCTATGTTTTCCAAACTTAATTGACCACATAATCCTTTTTTTGAAAAGCATTATATATCTAATATTTCAAAGCAGTCTTTGGGAAATCATGCTGCACATGGTTGCTTAAAGTGTCTGGACACTTTACTAATCTCCGAATAGTGTTAACCAAAAATGGCTTCAAAACAGTGGCCCTCATTTAAAAGCATTTGTCTTATAATAAATAATTTTGAAGGTAAAACCATTCAAAAAATGAAGGTGTGGCTGCGCAGTTATGGCATAATGAGTCGTGAAGAAGATATCAGCAGGTCAGATCTTGATTCAGAACTTTCCCAAATCACAGTCATTGCCATTCTACCACAGGAGCATAAAAAAATTAACCCCAGTTTATAGCTAGAAAAATAAGGACATAGAAGGCACTTGCCTTATGTTACTCAGTTACTTAATAACCCAATACTCTAGGTACTCTTTTTTCTATATATATTTATTTAACACGGTTTCTGGTAAGAATACAGGACACGTTTAAATTTGTATTCAAACACATCTACATTTTTCTCAACAAAATAGAAAGATTATGTAGTTGAAGGTCAAAGTTAAGAGCAGCATAATAATCTTTCTTGTGCAATGTTCTTTCACCCCCACCACCAATGTAAATAACTGTGAGTTTAATTGAAATTACAGGTGGCATCTGCTTATTTCAAAGATTTTCACCTACTGCTAATTGGAGTCATCTGTTTAGCAACATCAATAGAAAAATGGAATTTGCACAAAAGGATTGCTCTGAGAATGGTGATGATGGTGGGTGTGGACCCTGCATGGTGAGTACTGCATTTACTTGCTTCCAGTTTGCATTCTGAACAGACCATGTTTTGTGCAGAGCAAATAGCCAAGAAAGTGATGCACATCCAGGGATTTGTTTGTACCACAGTATAATTCAGACTTTTTTTTTTCTTCTGCAAATATGAAAGTGATATAAAACATGCTTGAGCTATAGAAGGAGAAAAAGAACAACATTCCTTTCACTGCAGTTCTACTTACAGGGAGATTGGAATAAGTGCACACAACTCTCTCATCTTTCATGTACGATAGGAGTCAAAGCTGAGAGAACCCTTGAACCTCAACAGACAAGATTGATAGACTTCAGAGCAGATTTCAGTCCTATCTTGTTTATTTGTCTGATTACACATTCAGAACTTGTTCAAAAGCATCCTTTATCATCAGGGAGGTTGTTAAGAATCAAAGCAAAGACGTTACTGACAAAATACAAATGTGTGGGGAAAGAGTCCAAGGTGAACGTTTTTTAAAAATCAACTATTGCAAAGTACAACAATCAATTAAGACTTTTCATCTATAGAATGTGAAATCACTCATTTGGCTTATTTTTTCCTCACAAAATGAGTGCTTTTTTCCATGAAATTAATTGGTTGTTTTGGTTTTATTCCACCTCTTGTTAAGAACATGAATGTAAGCTAAACAAAATTTCCAGTGTCATAATCATTTGCATGATGACATTTTGCTTTACAGCCTTAGGTGGATCTTCCTTTCTCATTTTTCTTTGAAAATAAGAATACTGTATTAATTTATGTTGCATAATTCATTCTAGAACAAAGCCACATCTGTGTTTATCATTTATGGTGCAAATTTGTTTTGCTAAGTACAAAAAAATCAATTGCTCAGATGAGACAAATTATTTAAAAAATTTTTTTACTTAAAACTGTTGTAGCATATTTGTATTTAAGGTGTGTCACTCTTGAAGTGAAATGGTGCTCCATGCCTCTTGGGGTGCTAAAGAAATACATCTCTTTTCCTTGACCATCTGCTCGCTGACTCTAGGGGATGGGTAATGCACTGCACAGTTGGGCAAGAGTCCTGTACATTGTGCCACTTAGTGACTTTTCAATTTAAGGCATTTTCACCATAAAAAGCTTTTGCTGATCTCAACCTTTTTTATAGGAAGATTTCATGTCTTGCCAATGCCTTAAGTTAAAAGTGTTTCTAGTTTTCTTTAAGCAGATTTCTAAATAGTTTTCTATTATTTTGTTTTATATAGAAAATATTCACCTTATCTGAGTTTGAAACTTATAGTGTGAAATTATTCTTATAGATATGTTTTAAAAGGGAGTCAGTGAGTTTTATAAATGGCTCTATATGGGAAAAATGTGCTTCTGAATGATTTTCTAGGGCCTCCTACTCAAAAGAGATAATGCTTTTTCCTAAGTGATTCTGAAAGTTTATAGACATAGTTTAAAATCTTGTGGTCCTAGGTATTAAATATGATATTTAAGGGGAAAGAACTACTCTATTTATAAGAGAAGACAATGTAATACATCCAGTTCTTGACAAAAGAAAGGGATGATATTAGATTCAGGAGAGCATAAATAATAGAATATACAGAAAATTCTGAAACCTCTTTTTAGCAAGTGATCTGAACTATTTTCTCCACCCACCATACATTGAACTAGAATAATGAGAATGTAGAAAGAAACTTTACGAATAGCAATCTCTCTTTGTCCTTGTGCCTCCTTGGCACACATATGAACAAACAGAGATGTGGCTAGAAGATAAGAGAAAAAAAAATAAAGGACCCTAAATTCAAAAGTTGATCGTATTTTCATCTTGCTAGCATTTGAAGGTAAGTAATCAACTGTAAAGAACATTCTAATATTGGCATACTGTTACAAGCTGTTATGTCATATGCCAACTTACAGTTTGATTATATTTCTGTTTGGGAAGAGAAGCTTCTTATGGTTTCCTGGGAGACAAATCTCTTAAGAACTTCTCTCTTACATGTGTCACTCTGATTGCTACCTGGCTACAAATGGTACTTGGATTTCACTACCTGGGCAGAACCTTAACTTTCTATGTTTTGAATAACTTAAATTCCCAACTTCCAAACAACATCCTTTGTAATTAAATAATACAGTGCTAATTTAGCTAGAGAGCACAGCTCCACACTAAAGGTTTTCTCATTTCAGGCTGACCTTGGGGTTCATGAGCAGTACTGCCTTCTTGTCTATGTGGCTTAGTAACACCTCTACTGCTGCCATGGTGATGCCCATCGTGGAGGCTGTGGTGCAGCAGATCATCAGTGCTGAAGCAGAGGTCGAGGCCACTCAGATGACTTACTGCACTGGATCTACCAACCACACACTGGAAATTGATGGTATCATGTGTTGATATGGCCACAGGGGAGTCTAGTCTTTGGGGCAATAGGTGTAAACTCAAGAATTCTAGCTTGTTTTTAATTAACTGTCCATACATGCAGGATGTGAATTTAACCTTCTTCTTTCTATAGTTCCCAATATCTATACAAAGGAATTATAAAAATATTTTACCTTAAATTGTTGGATTTATGTTCTCTGACAAAAAGAGGAAGAATGCCTTTTCCATCCTGTAGCCAGTCTGATAAAACACTCTCTCATGTCTTTATCACTAGACTTCCAGGTTACTCTTTCCAGTCCTGAAAATACTTTCCTGCATAATATTTGACATCTTTAATTTTCACATTTTATTTGGATTCAGCATCAAATTTCCCTGTGGTTATTTCTGGCTCTGATGAACTGCTCTCATGCAGTGAAAAAATGTTGGAGGGATATTTGTATTTATGAAATACTTTATTAAGATGAATGTGATGTCAGTGCAAGGTGAATTTTTTATTTTCGGTTTCTAGTAATGTTTCCATTTTCTCAGACACACGCATACTCATGCAAACCCAATGATAACCCCGTTTTTAAAATTATTTTTCTTTCATTTAATGTTTTGCAGAAAGTGTTAATGAACATGAAGCAAATGAGGGGAAAGAGAAAACAAAACAAGTTCCAGGGTAAAAAATATTGACATTTTGATTAGGATTTTTCCAAATTACATCTTAATAAAACTACAAACTGGGCCAATTTATTTTGCAGATACAGGAATGGTAAAGGGAAAATTTCAAGCAAGACGGAGTTGGAAAAGGTACATTAAATTTGATTCTTTCTAAATAATTACACATGGAAATTCTATTAGAGCTGTAGTCAGATATGTATGCATTTTAAAACCTGTTTCTTGCTTCCTTCTCTATAAATTATTTTGCTTGACTTAGTTGAAGCATAATGTAATGGTTTGATAAGCCTTCATGGATAGACTGAAATTGACATCTGGATAGGGACCATTTTAGGCTCTGAAAATTAGCATCATTATTTTCTACTTTTACTAGAATCATGATGATGGCACTTAGCCAATATAGTTTAAAGAAATGCAACTCTAGTCTCAGGATATTGTTACATTTTCTTATTAAAATCTTGCTGGCCTAATAGTCTGATTTTCGTTAGGAATATCCTATTTCTTCCAGGTTATGAACTTAGAGCAACTTCTATTCATATAATTGTAAGTCTAGTTATCTTTAGTGTTTCCATTGCCACTAAAAATTTTAATGTGTAATTCATGAGTTGTTTCTGTCACAGAAAGGTGGAGGAGTTGTAGCCATTCTAGATTTAAAGGAAGGAATGAGACCTTTATAAACTATCCCATAGAATCATTTCCCCAGAATAAATCAATATAAAAATACCATACTAGGTCTCACTGGGAGCAATATATCTCAAGACATGAAAAATAATCATGCATAGAAATAGTCCTACCATCACCATGGCATTAGGAATAGGAGAGTGAGGCATATGTTTCCTTATGTGGCTATAATGAATTAAAAGAAGCTCAATGGGAAAAAGATAACCCTCATGTTCATTACAGAAATCTTTAAGGAAAGAGCAATTTCTTCATAAAGATAAAATGAATATAAAGATAATTTTTAAGCCATTAGCTATAGTATACATTAAGGATCTTTGAAGAGGGGAATTGCATATATTTATGAAAACATTATCATCTTTACAAATAGAAGTAATTCTTTTGAAACACAGGAAATCAACAATGTGCCAGGTATAATATAATATAATACATTAGATATGGCCTTTAAAAACTAGCATGTCTAATCAGAAAGAATATATATGCACTCAGTAACTTTCCCAGAGTGTTCTTCAGAAACCTAGTTTTCTGGCATAATGTATAAATATTGAGTCAAGACCCTTCAGATTGATTTGATATCCAGTACTGCCCTTGGCATTGTAGATACCGTGTTTCCCCCAAAATAAGACCTACCCATAAAATAAGCCCTAGCAGGATTTCTAAGCATTTGCACAATATAAACCCTCCCCCGAAAATAAGACCTACTGATGGGCGTGGCTATGCAGTGTATCTGCACAACTCATGCATTTCATCAGGGAGCAGTAAAGAAGATGAGCAGCCCTTCTCAGCTGCCCCATCGTGACAGCTACTATCCTAGAGGTGACCGGAAAGGTGTGGGCAGCCCCACCAACAATGTTGGCTCCCTCTGTCAGGTCCCGGCCATCCTGTGCATACTGCAAGCTGAGGCTTTGAGGGGAAAATAACACATCCCCTGAAAATAAGCCCTAGGGTATCTTCTTGAAGAAAAAAAAAAATATAAGACCCTATCTTATTTTTGGGGAAACATGGTAGGTCTATAGATGAAAAGATCTGCTTCTTACTGTAAGCAACCCAGAATCGAATGGACATGATGGACTTAAAAAAAAATAAGTCTGATATAAATTCCACAACAAAGGCATGCACAAAGGCCAAGCCTTCCAGAAATAGAAACAATTCGCTCTATCTGGGCATATTACCAGGAGGGAGTTTGAGGTAAAGGCACGAGTCTGGGAAGACAATAGCACACGAAAGCAAAGCAGTACAAACTCCATGAGTGCAGGGACATGTCTACTTTGTCACCATTTTAGACTCTAGCACATTCCAATTGCCTGACCCAGAGTAGATATTCAAGAGATATTTACCTTTATCAATTAATGAACAAGTAAATGCAAAGAGTGAAAACTGGAAAAGACACTCTAATCAGAAAGCACAACTAATTCAATGACCCAATTATGTAAATAGCAGTTTTTGGTTTTTTTTTTCAGGAAACTTCTCCAGTGCAAGTGTTAGAGATAAGCTTTTGTGGTGGGTGAAATGGTTGGATAGGTTTGGCCAGGTTAGAAACAGCTCTTCATGCAATACAAAGAAGTTTAGAGTTGATCTTACAGGAATAGTGACCCTTGAAGATTGGGGTGGGGGGACCGCATGGTATGTTCTGCTTTTGGAAAGCTTGCTCTAGTAACAGTGTGAAGGGCAATGGGGTATGGACTTAACTGAGCTTTTTGATTAATTAGACATTGGGGATTAGAGAGATAAAAGTGTCAGAGTTGTCTCCACTGCTCTAAACTAGTTAAAGGCAGATTTTGATGTCGTTGATTGGGATGGAGAACACAAGAGGGAAGAATAACTTTTCAATGGAGAAAAGTAAAATAATTTGGGTGCATTTTGGGCACTACAGATTAATATGAGTTTAAGAGAGGTGAGTGAGGCCTTTGAATACTGATTCTATGGTTTTTCTAGGACACAATGCATAAAAATTCAACCTTACATTTTAAAAAGGAACAACTTTTTGCTGTATAAAAGTGTTCTTTATAAGAGATTGCATGAAAGCATTATTTTGTATATTGTGAATTCAAGGTACATTTTGATTTTTAACAATTATAGATATCTTTTCAGGAATAAATGTATAGTGCATGTTGAAATTATTAATATAATAAACTGCACATACTCTTTGCCAGGTTTATCCTAGGTAACTTAACACTAACTGAGTATATGGAAGAATCTATACCTACTTAATCTACTAAAAAATGGAAGAAATGTTTATATTTATAATATTTTGGTCTTCTGCTTTCTTCTTGAAGAAGGTGGGGTATCCTATTAAATTAAAATAAATCCATCAAGATTCAACTTTGAATTTGATCTACAAGTCAAAAAAGATACAAATATTACTTCCTTTTGGGAGAAAGTGGTTTAAAATAAAATTCAGAGAAAGAAAATGAAAGATTTAGATGCTTTGGTAATTTTTACTGTTTTGCTGTGCTCCTACAAAAAAAGAATTAGATATGATTCCTAGTGAAAATTACTATAATTTTATTCACTTGAATTGTGATTTGTTTAGTGCAAAATTGTATTTTTTCTCCACTAAAATGTAAGATCTGCTGGATCAGAGATTTTTGTCCAATTAATACATATCTCAAATATCTAGAACAGTGACTGTCATAAAGTTTTTAGTAAATACTTGTTGAGTGAATAAGTTCAGTAATATTTTCTCAAATAATTACAATTAGATTAAAATAACTCATGCTGTATGTAAACCATAACAAGAAAAAGAGCAAACTGATAAAGGTATAAAGATAAAACTATGGATCAGATTACTTTCATGTTGGGTAGTAAGATAAAAAATGGCTTATAACTAAAATTTATCAGCTCTAAAATTCTTGTTAATAGAAGAGGAACGTTTTCATATAGATAAGAATGATGTTAATTTTGCTGCTTCTGCAATTACTCATGGTGGTGGTGATTGTGGTAACAATGATTACATGTTAGTGCTGAAGATAATAGATATTTAGTAGTCCCGTAGAATCCCGAATCTGATTTAGGATTATTCATATCTACGAATCTCATTCCTATGCTGCATACCTAAAAAAAGAGATGTTTTCCATGACATCACTTCCATGACATTCTCTTCTCACTATAGGCCACAATTAAACCATTAACAAGGTGCCCCACTTATCCAGAATAAATGCTGTGGGTAGGTACTTAGCCCATAAATCCCACACTACCCCTAAAAGTAGCTGAAATATTTTTAGAGAAGAAAAAGAATTGGGAGAAGAAAGGAATACCTTAAAAGGACACTGACAGCACATGAGGGTATATATTATATTTACCAGGTTCCACTGGGGCTACTGTAGAACTACCCATCACTCTTATAATTTCCATGAGAAAAGAGTTCTAGACATCCAAAAATCCATTTGTAGATACCAAAAGGAGGAATAGTTGTCAGTTTTTTTCTTTCCCTATAATCATTAATATTATTCAAAGAGATATCCCAGTTTTACATTAGCTCAATTTCTAAACCTCTGGCCATTTTCAAATGAAAGAAATTGGAAAATCAGTATGCTTTTAATGAAAATTTTGAGATAATTGTTTCCATTCATTTAATAGAATTTGTAGTTTCTCAAAGGGAAAATTTCAAAGAAAAAATATCTTTGAACAAATTGCATCTTGCTTTTAGTTAGAGGTTGTTTATTAATAGTTTAAGAGTGAAAATCTTTACTGTTTAAAATCAAACTCTACAAAACAACACTGTTTCAAGTTTTCCAAGAATGCAAAGAGCCTTGTAAATACAGTAGCAAACATGGTTCATAATAACAGGAACTAGGGATATTAATTCTGCCAAGTAAGGGGATATCAATTCTAGAATATCTGGACCCTAGATCAAATATTTAAAAGGTATTTTAGTTTAGATTACATAGATACTATAAACAAAAGTTGATTCTCCTTGATTAGGCTTCTCTTTTCCAAGACTGAGTGAAAGTACGTGCAAAGGCAATCATTAGTCCTGCTCAATCCCCACCTGATACAACCTATGAGTCTCCTTTTACTAATCCAGGCAAATCCTGTGGTTACTGGAGAATGTTTATAGAAGAGGTGAGTAGGGAAAGAGAGGGAGACCACCACATGCCCTTTAGGAATCACAGCCTCAACCTGTGAACTTGACCTTACAACAGATTTCAATCTTTATTGTAGTCAAAGTCCTAGCTCCATTGACAGCTATTCTTAGTTGTTTTCCCACAAAACATTTTGTTATTAAAGAAGTTGACTGTTGATATTTTTCTCCTAAAATATCTTTATTTTATGAATTATAAAAATATAGGCCTTCATGTTTTATGTTAGTGAAATTATCATCTAGCAAATACAAGCCATGTTAGAAGCATCTAACTGTACAACAAAGCCCCCACGCTACATCAGTCACTTGAATACTGTAGTTTGTTTCTTGAAATCCTCAACAATGTTTTGCCATGCATCTTCTAGTAATA